GAAACACCCATGCCCTCCAACCACTAATCATATTAATGGGGCTACTTCTCAATATATGGCCGGAGTTTAGTTAAATGTAAGTGTGTCGTAATATTAAAAGTTACATCAATGCGAAGATGGCGTTTGAGATATGTTATTGTAATATCTTGAATCAGCCCGGCCTTTTAAAGATGCATTTTTAGTACCAGCAAGGAGAAAAGAAAGGTTTTTTTTTCTTCTCAAATGCACTGGAGTGCATGAATGATAGATTTTACCCATGCCTAGGATACGCAAAACATTGCGCCTTCGAGGGCTTGCAAAATGTCTCCTGTGCCACAGGTGATGCAAACCTAATTAGGCTAGAGATGATGTAAGCCAAAAGTCTAGGCACGAAATACTTTCCACCTTACATTGTCGTGAATTACCCTGCTCTGAGTGGTAGGCAGAGCAGGATACCTCAAATTTATTCTAAAGTGGTAAATTTCGGAGAATACAGTATTTTAGCAGTTTGTATGATGTTATAACTTGAAAATCAGATAGGAAGGTAAAAAGGGTCAAAAAAGTATGCAAATGCATGCTTAGCTTTATTCATAAAGGCAAGCAAGTCATGGTAACTATTTGGAAGAGCTGTGCGTGCAGTTATTCTTAGAATGCTCCGACACAATCATGCAGTGCAAATATGCATGGAAATGAAATATCAAAAACTTTTGGACATAAAATAAGAGAATCGGCACAAAACCTAATAAAAATACACCCCTTTCCTCTCCGAGGCGCTGCACGTAGGGTTCACCTAAACTTATTTGCCAGAGCCAATTAAATTGCAAAAGTAGAGCTGTTTTTCAGTGACTTTAACTATAGGCCGCTGAAACAATTTCTAGGTAAACTTTAATTCAAATTCTTTATGGCATTTGCCTGTTGTTAGCTGCACACTCAGACTTATCAAAATCACAAAGCATTATGCAAAAGAACTTTTAAGCATAAACATTGTCAGAACACACGGCTCCAATTTAATCAAGTTGCATTAATAGAACATCTGTATGTGCAGGCATGCAGATGAATCTAATACAAGATTTTTATTTCAGGGAAAAGGAGGTTTTAGCAAAGTGCCTTTAAATTAACCATAATAATTAGTTGGATTGTTATTTTTTTGAAAGTTTATCATATGGTGCTTTACTTTTCGGCTAGGCAACATATGTTACAGTACTGGATTTCAAGGTTAACACTCAATTAAACTTCCAGTGACAGATTATGATAAAATTGCAGAAAATCTGCACATTGTAAAGACGTTCAATTCTAAAAGCTGTAGAATTTTAGTTTCAAAATTATCAATAAGTGAAGTAGGTTTCTAAGACTGTCTAAAAATGTCTTTCTTCATTGACGCCTTCTCTATAGTAGATCATAGCGATGCGAGTCTTCCCCGAAGTCGTAAGAAGGCGTAGTGGTATGCCAGCAGGCGTATTACTGATGTGCGCAAGAGCTGAGGTCGGATGCCATGCCACGGAACGGGAGTACAATCTGTGGGGCTTTAATTGCCCGCGCAGTCAGCACAAAATTAAAAAACTACCAAGTGATCACAGCTTGACCAAAATATGCTTTTGTGACTATTACTGGTCAATCTCACATTTTACTGCATTTAGTTCTCATTATAGTGGGTTTGAAGCTAATTTACATTTACTTTTACGATACCTAATACACATTCCCCTAGTAAATGACATGAGCAGAACTAAAGGCAAAAATTGTAATCGCTAAAAATACTTTTAATACTGGTAATTCTTATTAATTTGCAGTGGTGTCGCTTCCAATTTGCCTAATTTTGTATTTTACCACCCAAGAGCATCAGCCTCCGGGGTTTGTACTTACTTCGCGGTGGCATGGTCTATCGGTCATGTCGACAGCCTCCTAACCATTTGTACGTTAAAAATAAAGATTTTTCTTCCATAATGAAGTGGTTTATTACTTCTTTAATAAAGGATTGTTGTACTAGCTCGTTTGCAGTGACAAGAAGACCCTGTCCAAAAGGATAACCATCCTGGTTTCTTTGACTGATTACCGAACTCTCTGGTCGAAACAGGAAGACATCGTCGGGAGAATGCTGAATCTGAGGCACTTACTACAGAAGGAACATTAAAGTAATCCCCACTTTTGGCAAGTACTTTCATCCCATCACAAAGTGAAACCAATTAACGACTGACAAGACGCCAACTTTAAACGACTTTAAAATGTCTATTATGAAGCTGAGTATGGGATTTGTATGAAGATATGAGAAGTGCATGAATATATGACGTCTTCTCTACATCTTTAGTAACTAGATAGGACCCGCAAAAATAGCTGCTTAGCACTAAAATATGAAGAGTGGTGGAAAGGAATACATACGAGATATTAGATCCTCTAAGCCACCTTTATTAGTGCTTTTGGGAAAATGTCTACAAGTGGTAGGTAGCGTTTGAAAAGTGAACGTTTTTGGGCACCATCCAGCCCCAAGTGATATGAAACCAGTAAAGCCTCCCCTATTGCAATACAATTCATTAAAGAGAACAAAATTTTAGATGTACTAGAATTACGGTGATAGATTGCCAAAAACTTGGTGACTGTAGTTCCCGGCTTTTGACTAGCTGCCAACGCGCCAACTGTTGCAAAGGCCGAAGAAGCAAAGTGGCCAATGGATGCGCCAAAACCGCCCATCAAAGGAAAAAGGTTGCTGTGCGATGATATTATACGGGTTGAACTGCATATTCAACCATTCTGGCTATTTGGATCCACTGTTTGTATTTCCATCTTTAAAACACGGTATGTTGGGTGTATCGAACGCTTCTGGCTCATTTTCTACGTTAATAAAAGTCTTTTCTACACGGGTATACCTTATTGCGACTTCATAAAGGACTCAAGGTGGTATAAAAGCGCAAACTGGGTTGAAAAAATTAAACTGTACTTGAGCACGCGAGTTGAAGTCAAACCAACCCTCCAGTCGACTTAGCCACTCAACTGTCTGTGATTCGAAAAAAGGAGTTGCTGTGTCCGTGACGTCGATCACGGGAAATGAGTAAAATTCAATTACCTTATCACACACCTTTCAAGGCCGATCTAGGGTCTGACAAACCGCATTTACTTAAGTTGAGTGCACGAATTAAAGCTTAATTAAATCATTCTGTCACCTCACATCGGTGGATGGTACCATACAGTCGCCTTTTGCTAAATCCACGAAAATTCACAGAGTTTTCAAAATGAGAATATTTCTGGTGGTTTATGGCTACCATATTAATTAATTCTTCCAATACAAAATCACTCAACAATTCCAAGCAGTATCAGTGCAAAGTGGATCATTAAGGTGCCAGAATACTTAACCTATGCAATACTCTTTGCTCGTGATAAAATGACCTTGAAATCCGATATAAGAAGGATGGAAGAATACAGCTCTTCAGTCTGACGTCTTGTTTCCGTTTTTAAGGCTAAGTGACAGTCTTGCCTTTTAGATTAGTGCCATGAGAATCTGCGAGCCATTAACACACAATAATAACCATCATTTCATTTTGCCTGATTAATCCGAAGACGAATGCAGATTGACTTGCAACTAGAAAATCGACTTTGTGCTCATGTTTGCCTTGGATAAAAACAGAGTTTCTGTGGATACAGTCACGGCTTTAGTCATACTAATATGTGCGTCTTTAATGAAACCACAACTTTTAAAACGACCACCATGAACAACGAACTCCTGATCATATTTGGCAATCTGACGCACAGAACTCCATATTTTTCCTAAATCTACCGAGAGGCAGCTGCATGAAGCCTCAACACATCAACTGACATTCGTACTTGTTCGCTAGGAAATCTGGATCTTAATGCCTCATTCCAACGTTGATAATGATAGCAGCACTAGTGAGTCGTGAATTCATTCAACGAATAGAATGCCCACATAATTTTGCGCTAGAAATGAGGCAGACGTGGCAGTTAAATTTCAAGTTAAAGGGAACAGCAAAAGAAGAACACTAGAACATCTGAAAATGTCCCAATGGTCAGCAGCTTCAAATTTTAGTCAATAAAAATGGTTGTGAATTTCTCATTACAAGAAGCAACGAACAATCCCCTTCTGCGCTTTCTTTTCCATTCACCGTGAGTTCGTGGTCTCACTTATAAGGTACTTAGTCCGTCGTGCTATAACCTAAAGGGCTATATTGCATTTCGGTAGCAAAATCTAATCTTTTGCACTAAAAGTGTTTGCTGCACAATAATTTCATGGCTTAATTTTACGCTTTGGTAGTATTAACGGTAATATTGAAGCGTTAGTCAAGTGGACACTTTTGGAAAGTGGCTTAGTTACTAGGACACAGAGAAAACAGAATTTACAGAGACAAGTTTTAAAAGTACAGGCTAGCATTACAATTTCTGTCTAACTATGGAAAATGGACATTCCGAATTTTCAAAAGACGTTCAATTGACGAGAAAGGTAAAAGCGGTTGGTTTTTGTTTAAGGGCTAATTATCTTAAGGAAATTGCACTATTATTAACGAAAAAACCATTCTCCTAAGAATTAATAAATTTTAAGAAAGGCAAAGTTCGCAGTTTGAAGAACTTAAAGTTTTGTTAGGTTTAAGCCCATCACCTTTTTAGGTCCAGAAGTTACCTGTGCCACCTAGTGATAGCGTAAAACTTAAAAATCGCGCCAAGTTTGTGCGAATTATAATAAAGTGAGAGCTTTAATGACATAACCATTCATGCGCATACCGAAATTTTAAGGGAAGTTTGCTTCTAAGTGGGCTGGTTAAGAGATGTTGTTTTCGGGTAACTGGTTGGGCTACGTCATCTTCACATCCACCGAGTGATATCACTGATAGCTCAAGGTAAGATTGCATGCTTCCAGACACCACGGTGACGATGATGGCGATTATGATGAGGTTTAATTTACTACGATTTAGCTTTCACAGATCAAAAGGACTTAATTCAATCTTTAGCACTTACATTTGCTTAGTACTTAAAACCTTGCACTGTTATTTTGTGAGGCGCACAACCCTTAGAAGCAGTCAGTTTTTTATCTGATGAAATTACCTTACCCTAATCAAACCCATCAATTTCTGTGGCATACAGTCGTGGTCTAACAATTCGTAAATCAACATGCCGCATCTAAATCGTCATAATACGATTTATGTCCTTCATTTATTTATGAAAAGTGTACTCAAGTGGCCAATATGTCGTTTATGGTAAATTGAAAACAGGAAAATCAAAAGTAGGAGGCCATTCTAAACTAGAACAAAGATAAGGGAAGGGAAATAGCTATCTCTAGGACACAAGGGGAGCAATAACTAGTCAAAAGGAAGAAAGCTCGCAAAAGGAGTAGGAATGGGGGAAAGTGGAACGTCCGATTGCTGAAGGAAATCCGCCCACAAATTTGTTGTGCTTGATCATCTCAATAGATTCCTAAATTGATAAAGAACGATTTTAGTAAACAAGTTTAAATAAATGTGAGTCAAGAAGTGAGGACAGACACAAGCTCAAGGCGTTGGTTAAATTATTAGTCGGAGCAGAAGTCCCAGAAAACAAATCGGCATCCACAAAAGAAATCATTCTAAGCGTATTTAACAACCTTACTATGATTTATTATCCGAGTGAATTATTTGAACAATTGCGCCTATTATGCACAGATAAGCTGCTAGATTGAGCACAAATAGCCGACTTATCTTGAACCTAACAGACTTTTACCTTTTTTTAGGTCCTATTACGTCTACTCACAAAGTTGGACCCTGCCTAATGACCACCTTTACCAGAATGCTTATACAGTGGTTTATGCTTGAGCATCGACTCACCTCTTCTGAGATCGGAAATACTTCGTACCGTGAAAATGGGCACTGCCTGAATTAGACAAATTGCGCATTCAATAACACCATCTGCATAAATTATGGGGTCATTTAAAAAGAAATGAAACCGCAAGAATTTGTGAATAAAATGATAGAGTTATGACATCGACTGCACGCAAGCAATTTAATGAGGTTGAAATAAAATTAGTTTTGGGTGAAACGTGCCTTGTTTCTGTTGTACGAATTGCTTCTGTGGTGCAGCTGGTAGCATTTCATAAAAGCTCTATTTAAAATAAAAATATTAAAAAGTTAAAATACCACAAACGCAAAAAGACCTAAAAACTGTTTTCTTACAAGACTTTTTTTAAGACCTGGAGGGCATAATAAACTAAACCGTACTATCAAAATTGCATTTTAACTAGGAAAAAGAAGGTCACTTGTCTAAGACCTTTTTATGCACAAATATTGATGAAAAAGAACAAATAAGTCACAACTTAATGTTGCAAAGTTCCGTGAAATATCGAACCAAGAAAAAGGTCACGTTGTGAAATAGTAAATTTGTCTTTGTTCCCAATGTTGTTGAACGTTGAACTCGAATGTGCTGGTTTTGAACTTACCGGTTGGCGAAAATCTCCCCATCTCCCAGATGAATCTGCTCACTCTCACTGCTAGAAGTGTCATTGTGAGCGTATTTTGGGGAGTGATGTTTCGAAGCTGCCCTGAAAGGCAGAGCCATCTGGATGTTATTATGTAGGAAGTAGCGCGCATGGGTACTATACATAGTCTGTGTAGAGCGTGCAACGTCTTGGTGAAACGCCAACCCTCGGGGGTTCATAGACCCCGTGAGGGGACGTAGGAAACCGGATTAAAATGCATGGGTTTCTGCTCTAAAGGAACTACGTGTTCTTGCTGCTTTTTACCAGTTCGAGCACTGCTGCTGCCATGACAACGGGTTGGCGGAAGTCATTTGACTCAGTGATAAGCATCGCCTAGTCAAGCAAATTGAGTAAACAAACATTTTGAGCGAGAAGCAACTGTTTTGCGTGTATTTGACAGTGTAAGATTCATCATAAATGTATTCCACCCCTTCCGTGACCTCTTCTCTACGGTACAAGTGTTAGAAGTTTAATTAACGTAATGCTCAGGAAAGTCAAGGAGCTCAAAAGTTGACTGTAATAAATGCACAGGTTGTTATGATTTTTAGGTGACAGTCAATGAGATCACCTCCCACTCCCAAGCAAATAATTCACGGAATATTTATGCTAGCTTTCGTGAAATGTGCGCAGATGGAGAAGCGTGGGTTATACGTTGCATCTATTTACGTATTGTTTTGAGGGAGTAAACACAGACCAACATACATGGGAGACTTGCTTCGCCTTGGTCGAGCTTTCGACTGCGGCCGGCCGTGAGGGTGGTGGACTGGAGATCCAGCGCTGGGTAATCTGCGTCTTTTACGAATAAAAATAGCAAATATTGAGAGAAGAGGAGTGCTTGTAATTCACTGACTGAGTTAATAAGGTGAATTCGAATAGGCTAAACGCACCCATGATCCAAATCATTGTTCATACATTTACTTACTTGCTTTGAGATCTGCCCTTCTGGCCCGCGTTTCCGGCAATAGAATTGCGCCTTAAATTCCGAAAAAATCAATTTTTTCTGGTTTTTTCGCTAATTTTAAAATCTTCCATCTGGCAAATTTACCACCGACTTGAAATTCAACTTCACTGTTTCCCGTTCAAATAAAATGTTATAGCGTCACCAAATCAGTATATGTAAAACAGTTATCTACCAGCTTAAAAAGGAATTAAAAACCTTTTCAATAGAAACAGAAGATAATTAAGAAAAAGACATTATAAGCATTTGATTCAAAATTGCATTTTAAAAGTGCCCATGAGATAAGAGAAAGATATTAACAGTATGAAATGCTAAAGGGACAAAAGATGAGTGGGGTTATATAAACTTGCCTCACGACAGCTCTCCCCCTGTCTAAGTTCCTCTGGCACTTCAAGCAAACATGACGAAGAACAACACTGGATTGACAGTTGTTCCTAAAAGTTAATGCCATCGCATTACTCCAATGACCTCATTACTGTTGGTTACAGATATTCATTTATCGGTGAGGAATTGGGCATTTTGGTGGTACAGGCATAAAAACAAGCATCACGTTGGTGTGCAAAGTATGTTTAAAGTTAGATGAAGCACTTACTGATTGGTAATTTTACCGCTTTCCCTAAAAGTGAATAAAAAATGCACAATAGCCATAAAAAACTACCCATTTCTGTGAACTGCATACGAGCCCCTTTGCCTCTATTACCGTGCTTTATAACCTTTTGCTTGCTCCTCAGGATAAACCAGATAAAAAGCTTCCATACCATCAGGTGGTTAGGAAAGAATAAAAGAAGTACTTATGATTCCATAATTATTAGTATGCTGCGTAGGGGTACGATTAAATGAAAAATTCTGCATGGAAGTTCCACTTACACATGCGAGCACGTCTCGAATTCGGGTTCACAGTTTTCCACCACAATTTGCTCAACTGGAGACATTTGACTAAACGGAAACGCTTGGTTTTTAGATATTTATAACTTTGAGAATGGAATATTAGGATACGTAGGCATGCTTCGAGCATTTGTTATTAAAACCTTATAGAAGAGACTCCGATTCTAAGTGGTAGAAGTGACTTATATAGGTGGATTTTAAGGGCGAAGTGCAATTAATGTTAGAAAACGTCGTAAATGAGGAGGCGTTATACAATAAGGCCCAATTTTATCATTTTGGTTAAATTCTAAATACTATTTATTATTTTACCTGAATCCATCAAAGAGGTACTTCTCTGCTTACCGCTTTTGCCGGTTGAAACCATGGTGATGGGAGTGATGCTGATGGCAGCAATGTACTCCGCCCCTGATCGGACTCTTCCCTTTGCGTGCAACTTTCCTCATGGCCCTATTTTAACATTAATTAATGCGGGTAACAGACATTACAACATGTAGAAAGTAACTCAATGCAATACATTAACTATGTTGTTTCCAGGCTTAGGTGCCACCTCAAAGTTCCAACTTATTTGGTTATGTTATTCGAGGGTAGGGATAAAATCTAGCACTGCAGCACCTACTTCTTTTTTGGGATGGTCTCGAAGATCAGTGGCTCAATCCTGATGACAGCGGTAGGACTCCGTCTTGCACCCATTTTGCGTCCAGCGGGAGAACTGCTTGAGCTACTTAGACTGCTGGAACTGCTTGAGCTACTTGAACTGCTGGAACTGCTTGAGCCTCCCACATTCCTCGTACGGCCCCTACCGCTAGTGGAGCTGCTGCTACTGCTGCTACTATTGCTGCTGCTGCTAGGGCTGCTGCTGCTACTACTGCAAAAGTGCATGCAAGCATAACTTAATGTGAAGTGAGTAAGAACTTTGCCGATAGACACTCATAAATTTGGCCCCATATATTCGCTCTCTGTTCCTATGACGTAAATTCTCCCAAAAAAATAAGTTACTGCCTTTAAAAAGCTCCTGAAGTTTTTATTTGGCCATTTGCATAAATCATAAATAGAAAAGAAAGCTGAAAACAGATTACAAAGGCTTACACTAAGCATCAACTAAAATCGAAACTTACTGTTTTAAAGAATCAAAATAATATTTTTATTTATAGATGGGGGAATTTTAACGTTTACCATAACTTCTTAAGTGAAAGGACTGAGATCACCAAACCAAATGAAATGGCACCTGCAGTACCACTGAGTTCAACCTTACCTTGAGCTAGAAGATCGAGGTCTGGAGGGATGCCTCTTTCCTTCGGCACCACTGGGTTTCATCACGATTCTATTTAAAGGTGTATATTTTTTACAATATTGAAACTCACACAAACTTAGACAAATATGCCGAGCCCATTTCAGTGACAGTTATCTTACAACAATCCATAGGCTTTGCCCACAATCAATCCTTAGTGTTGCTTAGGCACTAATATTTATTTATAACCTGTTTCGGAAAAATGACACAAATTCACCTTACGTATAACTTTTTTCAAGGCCTTGTGTTTTAAGTAGAGTTGTAATGATTTAACTTTGATGCTCCGCATTCGTAAACTTTAAATTGATTGTGACTCGACTACTTGAAATGGAACACAAGGGTAGGTGAAGGATCGAACTCACGTGAATTGAGCTGGTTGGCCTCGGGAAGCAGAGCGACTACGCTCAGCAACGAGATACACCGACTGTGGTCGTCTACAAATTTATAGAGTTTTGAAACGACGTCGAACACCTATCGTCTAGTGTTGAAAAGGTGCAAAATCCTGGTAAATATACAATTCTCTTAAGTAGACATTATTTGTTTTGCCTCTTTGAACCTTTTGCTAATCATCTTTCAGCTTATTGTATCTTTGGAGCAGCAAGCTTAAAACCCACTCATGATGGTGATAATGGGAATGCAGATCAGCCTTGGGTGGATAAGTGGCAAGCAACGTATCAGTAGACGAGTCCTCAAATGTCGGTAGACGGCATGTTAGACTACGCAAGTTAAAATTAACATACTTACGTCTTAAATACAAACGCAAACATGCTTTTTCACTTTAGCTCAGAGTATATTAAGCTGACTGTCATTAAGTCGCTTAATTTCATGAATCAATGAATATTAATTTTGTCCGTCTGTGCCTGAATTTTTTAATTTCACTTACATTTTGAACACATTGTGTTACAATAGACCATGCGTTAACCATCAAAAAAGAAATGTTGCGCATCTGCATCGTTACACATGAGCCAATCAGGGACGTGTCTCCAAATCGCCTTTAAGTGGTTTTGGCTCACAGACCTAATGCACCGATCTAGGATCCGTTTGGAATAATATGCTAGAGAACTGCATAAGTTACCCCACAAAAGTGGTCACAAATCATTTCCAAGAATGTGTTTATACTTGATGGCTTTTCGGAAGTTCAATGACCAAGTCTTCAACCTGCGTCTCATAATGAAATCACAAATTCCATGCCAGATATGTGCAGTTCAGTCACATACCCTTTCGGTTCGGGATAGTCCGATGAAATATCTATTGATTCCTCAGGACTGAACAGTTTCCTGGCAAAGAAACGACATTTGAGCGTGCTATGTTCATTCCCACCAAGCATTAGATACCGAAAATTTAAGTGCTCAGTTAAGGCAGTCCTGATTGTCGGTGCATTATAATGAAGTTCAACAGCTTATGGATGAAGACGCTAAATTCCATAATGTGTTTTTTTAAAAATGATAAATCGTCGGATAAATATGACGTAACAAAAGGTGTGACGAATTGTCTCAGCCAAGCAGGCTTGAAAGCAAATGGTGATTTTGTAAAAAAGGTTAAAAATGAAGTCCGTTAGATCTTTTAACCGCTCAACGATCCCCTGAAAGGTGAGCAGTGCAGTGCAGCTTTCAACATAATATAAATGAATACAATGAATACTACACAAACCGCATCCCCATTAAAGTGATAGAGCACCGAAGTGTATCAGTATCGAAAAACGATTTGAGAAAATACAGAGTTTACATTTTCATGTCATGGGGCTCTATAGGTGCCGTAAAGTACTCTTATTTTAGCACACCTTGCCCTTGATTTCGAAGCGATGCTTTTTTGACGTGATTTGAAGTACAGCAAATAGCACCATTTGTTGTCTGTTGACAAGACCCAATGTAACTCCGTATTGTTTGAATGCTCTTTACAGCTGCTTGATTTGATACCATAACTATTGGGTCAATTCAAACCACTTTGTTAGACGAAATTTAACCACGCTTTGGAGACAAAAATTCCGCGCAGTAAGGTGAACATAAGTTCTTTTGGAGCAATGTGTACTATTTGAATGGAACATCATAATAACCGTTTGCCTGGTTCTTTGACTTGAATTTCTTGGCATTTGATCTACGAAGCAGGCTTTTATTATTATTATTATTAGGAAGTAAATTTACACATTTATGGTGGCTAATGCGTAACCAGATACGCCATAAGAGTGATATATCTCAGTAATGAGTGAGAGATGTGCAAAAGCAGTTAGTGTATCAACAGGAAGTGACTCTAAGCCCTTACTCTTCGAAAGGCGATGTTGCCGAGCTCATGTGCACGCGTTCGTTGCCGCTTTCAAAAACGGAGCTAAACTTGCGCCCCAATGGCATGCTTTACAATCGGAAGAAAATGAAGATATTTATAGCAGAAGGAGTACAAACACTGCCCCTATTACCACCGGAATTGCAAAGGAGTAGACAAATAAATACGTTGAGGTTACTGTATCTGGGAGTGAATTACACACGAAAATTCGCTTTTAGTGCAATTGAATGGAATTTTGTGAACAGACCCGAATAAGTGCGGTAGAGGACCATAAGGGTAGCATAATTTTTGCAAATATAAGCAGAAATTCGGGAGACTGTTGAAGACCAGCAAAAAAAATCAACTTATTGTTAACAAGTGGTTTAAATAGTTGAGCGACTTTGTTGGAAAGGCAGTCTGCCGATATGCGTTGTGATCTAAAGCTCTTAACAAATGGCCAAAATACTATTTTTGAGGTTAAAAAAGCAGGATTCAGTTCAAGAATGAATAGGTAGGTGCCATTCTATTTAAGTAGCTAGTTTGCTTCAAACAAAATTATAAAAGGTAAAGTTCAGTGCTTTTACTTACCCTGGTTGATTGGCGTATGAACGTGCCTTCTTATGAGATGATTTAGGCATTTTCTTTGCAACGAGAATCTTTGATGAAACTTTTTCAGACCTTGAAATGGCAAATGCACGATAGATCCACATGCCCTCTTGTATCTCCACAAATCAGTTAAGTGTGGATTTTTAAGTCCATTCAATTTTTGGAGTCCCCCTTCACTACTCTCGCCCCCACATAAACTTTTTTCGGGGGAAAGCGCTGACAGAACAACCGACCACAAAACGTACTTTTAAAAGCCCATCAGGCTAACTTGAAATGGTAACAACTAAGTGAATGCTAATACAATCAAATGCGGTATGACGTGAGTAGACTTAACACCTCATTTGTAAAAGCATTTAATCTGATTTCAAGTTCTTCAAATAGATAGAATTCAGCATCACATCCAATTACTTAACCACTTGTGTGCAAATCCTAGGAAAGGACGAGACGCAAATTATTGAAGCATCATCGCCTTAGACATTTGTTTGAATCTGCTAGGATGTTAAATAGTGAGGTAATATGGCACTACCTTTGCCGGGAAACATACCTAATTGCATTATAGTGGAATTTTGAAAAGAGAAATATATGACACGCCAGTCAAAAAATGAGTACGGCAGACAATATGAAGAGGAGCATGATGAGCAGTTTCCCGACTGATGGAGCACTCTTAATCGGCTTATATTGCAGCGTGTCAAAAATGAGAGGAGCATGAAATAATTCCTTCTGGGAATATTCACCCAGTTTCTTCAGGCTCCGTGAATGTCGCAAATCCCCAAACCTTTTGCAGCTTTATTTTCTTGGCCCCAAAATATAAAGAATCGGTCTTAGTGTATTCACTTGTAAAGCCTTTTTGTTTTGCATACGCCATATCGTGCTCGTCTGTTGGATGTGATTAATCAAAGACAATAACGGTCAAGTCACGTCATTCTTCTGTCAAATCATTCAGCCATTTATCTTGCATCGGCCGTCGCGTCAAACGCTACTCATTGTCCTATTCAGTAATATACATTGCAACACAGTAGATTCCGAAACAGTTATTAGCTTTTCTAAATGACGTATCCTTATATAAAGTGCTTACCATTCCAAGAATTATTAACTCTTGTGTCTGTATAAGTGAGATTGCTCAAAGAGTTAAAAGAAGCGCGGCTACATGAATTGCTACACGATTTTATCAATAAGATGTCTTTTCATCTACGCAATGGTTAAAAAATTGGTGCCTTGCGTGTAAACCGTTCAATTATTTCCAGTAGTAGATTTTGCTAGGCTTAATAGTCCCCTAAATGTAAAAATATTGCTAAATCACATATTCATACTAAACTGATACATGGAGTACTTTATTAGACGATGGGTATGGTGAAGGTAGGGAATTTAAACATGGATGTACTCATGAAATGTTGGTGTTTGGAAAGATTACCATGTATGTCTACGATAGGCAATTAAGCAGGAAACTTACGATTACGGTCGATCACGAAGGGAGATGAGAAGTGCGATCTCACTCCGCATCAACCGCTTTAACTAGGTATGTGGTGATCAAGACTGCGAAAGTGAGCGTTGTAATTGGCTCTTAGGCCTACGCAGAGGTATTGGCACACGCAGGCTCTCAATGGTCTTCCACTTGACCACACATAAAGATTAATAAAATTAGTTTCGGCGTCACTTAGCATGCCAGCTCTCATGTGACAAGTTAACACTGAAAAAAGGAATTATTAAGCAATAATTTCCCTGTGCTAATGCCACCGTCATGCTGTGGGAGTGGGTTTTATAGCCAAGCCCAGTGGGTAGCGGTAGCATGTAGACGGGAGTTTACGTGAATTATTTTAATCATTTATTGTAGCAACTAGTCCAACATCGTACGTGTGTTAATTAAAACGGAAACAGGGAGGTTTAGTAGAATTTCCTCCCTCAAATATTACAGTCTCCAACTCAGTTGCGATGCCTTCACCTATCATTGCCGATGTTAAGTCTATTTTGTTTGATTTACCCAACATACATTAAAAGTACAATGAAAGGCGTCCGCTTCAGACACTGATTTCTCAATTATTTTTGTAGATTGTGCCCTACTTCTCCCACAAACACGGCCTAGCATTTTTTACGTGGAAAATTGTCACGCCTTTTCTAAATTGCTAAATTTTCTTTGTACAAAAAGTGTTCTTCTCATCTGAACTCCTAATTCCATCCAGCTAACCTAAAGTTAATGCACCGCATTTCACAAAGTCAGAGTCGTTTTATCTGATGATGGATTCATCATTCAAATCCAACATTTTGATTGTATTTTACGCATAAAAAATTGTTTTATGGAGATATTTACTAGTCGAAAATACCAAATTCGTCTTATTTTAGTGCGGAAATCTGGTTAATGAGTACCCACACCTTTAGTCTACATCAAAAATCGGATTTTCTTCACAGACAAAAGTAAATAAAGTGCAAAATACCTTATACCTAACAGATTTAGTTGAAGTGATAGAAGTAACTTGACTGCTTGGTTTTCCGAACAACACTACATAAAACGGATTTGGATGACATTTGGCTTATTCGCTTAAACTGTTTCTTCCACTAAATGGATAGACGATTGAATTACGGCATTAGTGGTGATTTCCTCCGCCCACGGAACCAAGTCATTGTGTTAGGTGAGCCAGAAATATTACCGATCCTTTGCGTTAACATTGACTCACGACAATGAGTTGACGTAAAAATGGAGAACCTTAATCCACTTGTATTTTATTTGGCAGAGGATCGGGGCACTTGATGATTTTACGCTTTGGTTGTGAAGAGAACATGTGAACACACTTTGCGCCAGTTCCACTTGCAATTCAATTGTGCGCCAACAGGTAAAATCTTTTACTTGAGGTTTTAATAACTTTCCTACCACGTTTCCAATGTCAGGCATTGTAGTTAGACTGCCTTCAAAAGTCGGGATTAGAGGCCCTTTTGTGCTTCTTTTCACTCACTTTTCCCATCAAAGGGACCTATATATTTTGGCGGCGGTATTCTACTCAAGTAGCTCTTTAAATGCGGTTCCAGTGGCAAGCAATTTAATGTTACACAGGCCGCAGAAGCCAAGCGTAAGACGTATATGCTTCTATAATCACTAAAAAGGCTACTCCAGACTGACTTTGCGATGTTTTGTATTATAATTAATGCAATTCGTGATTAAAGTGCAAAATTCACAGTCATCTTCATTAAATTTCAGCCTACTTTCAAAGTTATGTTGTGTATGTGTAAAAGAGACAGAGTAGAATACTAACACGTGTAATGCAAAATTTGGTATACTGACCTTTCCGTTTCGTCAGCACCAAGGTTTGCCCGCTCTACTTTAACTGGTTCTCTAATTTCACTGTCATTTGGTAGTTGTACTTCGGTGGCTCTGATACCTTGTTCCGAACCAGATCTTTGAACCCCAGTAACATCCGTCAAACTGAAATGAAAGAAAAAGCCTTTTTTTGCACAAAACCAGAAGAGGGAAGAGATGGACAAAATATGCTTTGAAAGAAATAGTAAGCCTGCATTTACGATCACTTTTCATTACCAGTTACTTTCAAATCACCCTCGTATACGTAACCGATTAGAAACCTTAATTAAGTGTCAAGCGCTCTGCAAGAACAACTTGAGCATAAAGCCTATATTGGCAACACTTCGTTACCTAAAAAATTTCCCCTATAAGCTAGCAGATTTGGGACTAGAGATCAAAAAGGAAATTTTCGCCAACTATAGTTTTAAAATGAGCTCACCAGCACAAAGGTACTTATTAAAATATTTATTACATTTACCATCTATGAAAATATATTCAACCCAGTATTTGTTATATGCATGCATAAAATTCGCTGAGAGTGGTAGTAAAAAGGTCCAATAAATCCTTTATAGTAATAATCGAAATAAAACGGGATAAGCAAGTGAATCACAAGCCATATCCTCAACGTAAAACCCGTCAAATTGCACCGTTTTCCTATAGGATTTAACTGGTCAAACCTGTTCAAACATCCATTTTGTTCTGAATTTCAGTAAAATCTACTCATACACTGAGGAATCACTCATTTGTTATGATTTTAAGAAAGGATGGTGCACTTTTCAGGTTGATTTAGGCTAGCTGATTTAACGCTTAAATGACGAAATATCTGTCCTCGCATTATATGAACTAAAATAATGCAAAAATCGAGTTTTTAGCGCAATAAAACCATTTGTAACAAAAATTAAGCTAAAATAAATGGGTCAGCATAGTAAAAACGCTAACACATTCCAACTATACTCTGTCCTTGAAAGCTATTTTATGAGTAGGACCGTATTCAGGCTTGCTACTGATATTTAAAAAGTAGCACTGATGTAATTAGTACAATTAGTTTTGTTTAGTTTCACAAGTCATTATTTCAATTGCATACCTTGCATACATTTGTCCATTTGAATTTTGCCTGTCACAAACGAAAATATCACTTGAATAAGGTAATTCAAGGAGTGCCGACAAAGTCTGACAAAAAATGCAACGAGTTGGCTTTGATGGTCACCTTTTGGAATGGCATGAATGAGAATGCGTGCTACCTTGCAGTCAACTCAGTAGCAATTTGAGAATGCTAAACAGAGGCATAGGCAATAAAACGACTGCTATAAGCTTTTTCAATTATGGTGTTTGTTAGATGACATTACATTTTTCCGCAAAATAACAAGGCATTTATCATTCACCTCTCAGGAATTTCGTTGTTATCAAGTCGCAAGTCTGTGAAGGTTGTAGAAACGTTTTCGTCGAAGGAGTCAGCTCTAAGGGAAGGAAGGCTGATAATGATGAAACAATTACATCAGCCATGAAAATCACAAATCACAGTGATTTCAATTAAATCTAGTCAAATAAATGTGCAACATTGGATTCCAATGCAAAATAAAGTAAAATTTAGTCTACTTCATTACAGGGTTAAATTGCATTTTTGATGGAAAGAATATAAAAACAACTTTTATGTTTGCATATCTAAGAGATTTGTTCCTTGTGGCCGAGCTTAGTTGGACAAACTTCAAGCAACCAAGTTTCCGTGGATTATGAAACCGTTTTGACAAATTCTCTCACCCACAAAATCATTCACACATTTACAGTACTCGATTAATGAGTATGCTTCCAAAATACGTCTAATACATCGTCTTTTTAAAATTATAAACTGACGAACTAAAATGCAGTTTTGTTGATAAAGTTTAGCTTTCCTTAGTCCTGCAGGAAAGCTCTGGATGCCGTTTGTTAAAGAGGGGCAACTGTTTACCGGTTTTAAACCGAAAATTGCAAAGTTCATTTTTTACCAACAAGATAGCGCTTTGATGGAGTGGTAAAATTTTGCGCATATTAGTCGCAGAGTAATTTGGTTTTTAGTACTCTAAAAGGTGCAGCGCATCTAATGAAATCTTAGCGTTTAAAATCAATGTTTTAATAAACACCCATGATTCAATACTTTCGTAGAGAAAGCACCATTGAAGTATCATTTCCAATAACCAAAAAGACATTTTGTCGGTATACTGACACGAAAAAACCAGAAGAGAAACCGGCAATGAAGGGGTTTGCACAGAATAGTAAAATTGCTTTTGCCGATCTAATGTTTAATTGGTATAAATGATCTTTTAATTCAACCCTAATACCAAAGGGAGGAGTCATTCGCCTTCGCTGCATTTTAACTCTCCAAAAATGCCCTGTGTTTCCACTTTCTCACCAATTGCAATGAATGCACACGGTAATAACAAACAAATTTACTTTAGTGTTTGAGTCCTGGAATTGGACTGAAAGATCAGTAATGTAAGGTGGAACATATTTTTAAGGGAACCGAGTTGAACCCAGGCATCTAAGATGATCGTTAAATTTTGCTGTTAAGCATTAAAGCCATAACCACAGAAGGATATACCACTGTGTCGGATAAGAATAAGCCAAGGTAGACGTGTGTGAGGCCAAATAAATCATCACTATGTGTGACGGCAAGGTTCACCTAGATTAGCTTCACCGTGCCTGCGAGGAATAATTGTAAAAGCATGGAATATGCAACAACGCCTCAAAAATGCAACTTCAACACAAAATTTACCAGAATTTTTGGCATTATTGATGATTTGTGACACATTCTTAATTTAAGAGCGACAGAATGCGAGATACGTGGATCAGCATTATCATGCTCAGTTGTATGAAAAAACCGTTTTAGAAGTTCGACATGCATTGTGTGCTAAGATGGGAATGAAACAACTGAATCCTGCCCAAACCCAATCGTCGGCATAGCAGAAGCTACTACTTTAGAGCTGCTGAAAGGGGTAGAGAGACCAGAGCAAATATTACCTTGCGCGGTCATCAGAATCTGTGTCCACTTCCTGAGGTCGTTGGGATTGGTCGGCCTTTTGTCTAAGTGGATTTATTGAAGAAGATAAAAAAGGAAGAACTTATTTTTAGGATTCTGCAGCTTGAATATCTTTTGTGAACACAAAACTCGTAAAACCTCTGCCTTAAAAAACTATCCTTCAATTCACAAGTGGCAAATGGCAAAGTACCAGGCACTTACCTACTTTCTTCCACCTCTATGAAGAATCTCGTCGTATCATTTGGAGACAAGGGCGTATGCGATCTGCATTTTGACAGTTCAAAAAAATCATACACATTTTAGCTGAACATTTAATTTTGCTCAGTAAATACCAATTACATCGAATACTGCGCTAGAGCAAAGCACTTTTTAGACATAACCTGGTGACTCCTGTCTCCAAATCATTCGTTGATGGTTCCTCCACTTCTTTGGATGGAGGAGGAGCAGCTTCATAACGATGCTTGCCGACATCACTAAAAAAACCATTCTTCTTATGAATGGTACAGAGCGCAAAACATTGTTGCACTCAGCCAAGGATAAGTACAGTCAAATTTACCTTTCATGACATCTACAGCAGTAATAACCCTTACATTCACGCACACACACCTACTCCTGATTTAATATCAGCTTGACGCATTCCTACTGGAAAACTAAAGTGACATGACTTGCATAATTGTTATGATTTCACTCAAATAAATAATGAAAATGTAGCAATGTGAATCGAGGCATTCAAGTGGCAGAGTCTTCACTACGATATTTCAGCTTTATACCCAGTTCCGTGGTGTCAGTCACTATGGAATTACCCATGAAACAGAGCAGACCGATCGCAATGTTTTGGATTGTTTGCAAAAACTGATTGCAGGCCAGATAATGTTTTAAGTAACATTATAATGTCTCTATACCCTATATTTGACGGCGTAATAAAATTTTGGGAATTTCATTCGTTAAAGTGTCTCCAGTTATCTCGAAACTACGAAACTTAGCACAACTTCGTCGTTTTTCTCCCTTCTTGAAAAAGTGAGGTAATTCATTCTTCATACAAGTGACAGTTAGTTTGCAACTAGATCCACCTGTCATGATGTTCGCGAATCAGAAGGATCGCCTCCTGAATTTTGGCAGGAACATCAATTAATCCAGAATCACCAATTAGGATTATGATAACAATACAATTTTATATGGTTAGCCTAAGCCTTTGATACGTTTTTATGGACATCACCACCGGTAAAATGATTGTTGATTGGACACTCAAATAGCATTTTATCTACCAATTGACCGCTTTTAATGTCCGATGGGTGGACCTAACTGCTACAAGCATTGGGACTAAGCCTTATGAGGGTCACGCTGTCTCTTATCTTTTACTCTAAAGTTATATCGTAGTGCAAAATCTAGTACTGATTAAATAACGATCTTGTAGAGGCAGCAATGCGCTTTTATTAGCCTGAAATATCTTTCCGATTGAAATGCTTTTTTTCAAGTCCATTTGCAGCTAATTAAGTTTAAGAAAGAGTTATGACACCCACGATGGTTACATTAGTCAAATAAATAGCTCACATGTAAGGAGATGCCAAGTGTGCTTGGGGTTGAGCCTGGGAGGTCTGTGTGAAACTTGACTCTGATCTGTAATGGGATAGAAGAGTAATTGCTCTATCACCCGTGGTATGATCTGAAACAGAGAACTCTATGTAGCTTTCCTAATGCCGTGAAACTTTTAAATTACATCTCTACACATTTTACATCGAAAAGTAGTTTTACAATAAAATATCAAATGACTAAAAGAGTTTAGTGTTTAGTGGTGTTTTCATAAATTTGAGAGTTAGGCAAGTAGATTAGTTACCAAATTTTACATTGAAGAATATTGTGG